TGTGTGTGAGTGTGAGTGTGAGTGTGAGTGTGAGTGTGTGTGTGTGAGTGAGTGCGTGTGTGAGTGCGTGTGTGTGTGAGTGTGAGTGTGTGTGTTGAACTCACCGTCACCTCCTGGTAATGCTCCATGCCGTTGAGCACCACCTGTATGACCTGTCTGCGCAGACGGACGCTCTGGTCGCTGCGATACTCGGTGTTGGTGAGGTAAAACAGAGCGGCGCTGCCCGTCACCTGAATGCTCTTGTCATATTTATGAGTCTTCAGCGCTGTGATCACCAGCTGCAAACACACACACAGAGATCACTTGAATGCACTGCACTGGATATAATGGATTTAATTGCACTGGCACTAGGGGTGTGCGATATATCGTCTGCGATAATAACATAATTGTTGTTGTAACGATGTGCGATTTGACATTATCGAGTATTTTGCAAAAACCAAACAAAACACCCCTACAGAGCGCACGTTTACATTACATGATAGGGGTGTGCGATATATATCGTCTGCGATAATATCGTAATTGTTGTTGTAACGATGTGCGATTTGACATTATCGAGTATTTTGCAAAAACCAAACAAAACACCCCTACAGAGCGCACGTTTACATTACATGAAGTCTAGATTAGTGCGCATTTAGAGTGAGTTCTTTCACTGCATGATTCAGTCTAAATCATGTCATGTCATTCATATTAAAATACATTTAGAATGATCACAAATTCAAGACATGGGGGCAGAAAATTTATATATTTATATCATTTCATATAGTTAATCAATATCACACAAAGAGTGCCGTTTTTTCTCATTAAATTATGTAATTTAGATTTTTTTACAACAGATCAAAAAACAAGAAGTTAATTAAGAGACTTATATTTTATACACCACATTGGCTGTTTTTGCTCTATTTCGACAACAAAAATAATTCCAAACACAGCCACAGCACTGTTTTGTGTCTCTGAGCAACATGACGATGTTTCGTTCCTGAATGAATCAACCGTTTAAATGATTCGGTTCAATTGCAATGATTCACTTATAAACCGTGACTTGCTGCCACCTACTGGTGGTTTTAATTTCACATTTAAAGTATCTTTTTAAATAATTTCAAATAGCAGTTTTCAACGTTTAATGTTTAATATATCAAAACATTATTTATGCATTTGCAATTGCAGGTTAAATGCATTCATGTTCTGCACTAAACAACAGTGTGTAAATACATCTAAATGCCACTTCAGATGCAGCTTCTGTGTTTCCTCTGCATTGCAAAGATTAATTTTATTGATACGGATTTCATTTGCTTGGTAACAGCCCAAATGTCTTATTCTAATTCACTGATTAAATGTTAGAATTTGACTCAAAAGATAATGGACACTTTTAGAAAAAATGGCTTTATAAAGGTAAAAATGCGCATAAAAGGTAAAAATCAATTTAAACTTATTGGAAAAGATTAATTTCTATTGCTGCTGTGAACTGATCACCACATAGAATATGAAGAATAAATATCAGAAACTTTAGGAGTCAGCTGTGTACGGTGGTCCTTAAGATACCAGCACAATAACACACTCAGCAAAATATTGTCTAATTACCGTTATCAGTAAAA